AATATAGCGTGAATGGAATTCCAGTTTTGACTTCGTGTCCTAGAAAAAATCATTTTTTTGTTTACCTTAATAAATTAGCTAACAATAATTTTAGTTTGAAATTAATCAAAAAATACCAATTGCAAGATTATAAAAATAAAGGGCATAACGGAAATTTGGGAAATGATTGACAATACACAATAAACAACGATAATAGTTTTCAACAACTTTTTGATTTACTCACTTCTTATCTGGAAAAAGCAAATGCTGATTAAATTTTTTTAAACTATGCTGTGTAAAAAATGCCACAAAAACATTTCAAAAAAGGAAATAGTCTGAAAAAAGAGAGCACCAATTTAGAATCACACTCGCTTTCATAATAGGAGTTGATGATTATATTCAGGATATTTTTGTAAAAAATGTGCTATTGAAACAGATAAAAACAAGTGCCTTTTGCTAAATTTTTTGGCTCTTTTTTTGTTTTTTTTGATATTATTTTTCTCATTTGGTATTATAAAACTCATTAATCTGCTCCGGTAATTCAGTGGATAGAATACTCGTTTCCTAAACAAGTCGTCGGAGGTTCGAATCCTTCCCGGAGCGCCATAAAATTAAGTTATATAGATTTGTCCGAAATAAGTAATTGTTATAAATTTGGTCTAATTAGCACCTTACGTAGTCATGAAAAAAAAGGAATTAGACACCGCGATATTACCAAAACCGCTCTGGAAAAAGATTTAATTAATCTTGGTCCAAAAGCAACCTGAGAAAAATATCTAGAAATCATTGAACATAATCTCAAAATAGTAAATTTTACTCTCAATAATCTTCCTGCTCGAGTAGTTCATTCCCGAATTACTTCCAATTTAATACCGCTAGCCACTTTAAAAAGTTTTGACAAAGCAAAGATGAATTATGAGTTAGTTTTAGAAGAGGAAAAAATCCTGGGCCTTTGCCAAGAATTAAAAAAAATCATAATCGAGAAAAAAATTGCTGTTTCAATGCATCCTTCGCAATTTGTTAGTTTATCCGCCAACGATGAAATAATAAGAAAAAATTCCCAAGCCGAATTAATTTATCATGCCAAAATTTTAGAATTAATATCAAAAGAAGCAGTTATTACTGTTCATCTTAATTCTAAAAGCGAATTAGTGAAAAGTTTGGGAGAAGAAAAATATCTTCAATGAGCCGCCGAATCAGTTATGAATTTACCCGCTTATGTGTTAGCAAAAATTTGTCTCGAGAATGAATCGCGTGGCTTTTGAAATTCAAATAATCTTTACAAATTTCACCTTTATTGTTTGGAAAAATACAAAATTTCCTTTCCCTTGGTTTGAGACAATACTCACGAGGTTGCTAATCCTTCCCAAATTAGTGCCGATAAAGAAAATTGAGAATGATTTATTACTACTTGAAGCAATCAAATACCACTTTTTCATTGATCGGAAAGTTGTGGTAAAATTAATGCTGGACATTGTGATTATTATCACCAAGAAAAGCTTCCTCCTAGTTCAATTCCGATCTGAAAATGTGAAATTAAAACGAAAGAATTAGCATTAGAAAAACTGTTAAAATCAGCAAAAATCTAAAATATTAAAAATAGATACTAATGTGATATGAAAAAAAGAATAATAATTATTTTGTTAATCGTTGTTGTTTTGACAGGAGGAGGATTAATTATTTGAAAATTAACTCAAAATAAAGATAGTTCATCCTCACTTTCCCAAGAACAGGAATTAGAAAAATATCTTTCCGGAAAAAGATTAGACCTCAAAAAATACTTTGTTTTTAATTCGGGGGAAGAAGTTAAAGTAGGAGCAATTAAATTAGAACATAATTGGATTGAAAAAAAGGTTAATAATGCTAGGGCTTTAACTCCTCTACTTTCCGAACATTTAACTAAATTATTGGGAGAAAAAAAGGATTGAATTGCTTTTAGAGAAAAAGACAAAGATAGAAAGGATATAACAGGAGAATGAAGGAAAGATAAATTAGACCAAAAAATTAGTAATGGAAAGGATTGGTATATCGTTTTTGATAAAAGTAAAATTAGCAGTAATGATTGCAATTATTTTCTCCTAAGAAGTCAGGCAGTGGATAGAAAACTGTTTACCCGTTGGGTTTCTCACTGGCTGTTCTCGCTCAGCCCGAGGTTCAAATTTTTAAGAGCAAAAAAGAAACTTTGCAATTTCTGAAAAATAATGATCCAACTCTTTCGGGAAAAAGTTAATAAAAAATGAAACTAATTGTTGGCTTGGGTAATCCCGGTAAAGAATACAAAAATACTCGGCATAATTTAGGTTTTGAGGTTATCGACCAATTGGCTAAGGAATTAAATGTCGAATTAAACAAAAAAAAATTCAACGGGCTATATTGTCAAACCAGTACCTATATTCTTCTCAAACCCCAAACTTATATGAATAATTCTGGTGAATGTATTTCTTCCTTTCTGAATTATTTTCAAATATCTCTGGATAATTTACTAGTAATTTATGATGATATTGCTTTGCCATTAGGGAAATTTCGTTATCGTAGTCAAGGCTCTGACGGAGGGCATAATGGAATGAAAAATATTATTGAATTATTGGCAAGTAAGGATTTTAAAAGGTTGCGAATTGGTATTGGTTATGATAGGAATTTTCTTATTAAGGATTGAGTTTTAAACAATTTTTCTCAATCGGAACAAGAAGAAATAAGGAAAATCATGCCTAGTTTACTCAATAGTTTATTAGAATGAATAAAAGAAGATAATTTTGAAAAGATGATGAGTAGATTTAGTAGTCGCGGATTAGACAAAACCGAATAATAATTAAAGAATCAGTAAAAAAAGCCTTGGGCATAGAGCAATATCAGAAGCAAGCTGAAGCTAAGTTTTAAAAACTTTAAAATATATTAAGAGTTTAGAAATTAATTTAATAAGCATTATGACAGAAATTGCAAAAAAAAAAAAAAAACAGTAATGGAAGAGGAATGATTAGTGTTTTTCTCTTAATTAAATAACATATGGTAGAAAAATATTACGAAATCCTTCAACTAACAAATGAAGCCGAATTTTTGGCTATGACGTGTGCCCAACTCCGAACCAAGGCCAAAAGGGAGAAAATTTCTCACAAAAGAGCTGGCCGAAATGAAGAATACTTGAAAGTGGAAGAAGCCCAAAAAAAAATTGGCGATGACCCAATTTTCCGTTTAAAATACGATAGTGATAATTTTTCTGGTTGACAACATCAAGCCCCTAATGGTGGCCGATTAGACGAAATATCACAAGCCCTTGTTACTCTTATTAATAATGGTAATGTTGAGGATGCGGATGGTGCTTCGATTGATGGCAGCACCAAGATTACCGACGATGATATTAGGGGAATAGGCGGAGGAAGGTATGTTGATTGACAAAATAAAGTAAAAAATTTTACAGAAAATTGGGAATTGGTAAATTTTGTCTCGAGTTTTCATCAAGAGTTAGAAATAATTGCTAACCAAAAAAATGAGGAAAAAATAAAAAGGAAAAATGTGAGAAAAATTGAGGAAAGTGTCGACTTCACTATTGAATTAGTGCAAGAAGAAGCAGAAAAAAAGCCAAATGTCCGAAATAGGCTTGACCTAAATTGACAAGACAAAATAAAAAAGCCTCAGCAAGACTTTCAAAATAGATGAATCGAGTTTCAGCAAGCCATGGATAGAATTAATGAAGCAGGGCAAAGAATTGTCCGCCAACTAACTAGTTGAAGAACTGCCGAATTTGATGATATCGCGAATGATCATATAATATCGGTAGAAGAAGCCTTGCAAAATACTGGAAAAAGGATAACAGAGATTAATGATGAAGAAGGCATTCAAACTAGAATGCACCCAACAACTATGAAAGAAGAGCCAGCGTTGAATGCAGACGGCACTCCAAAGAAAGATGGAATTTTCAAAAAATTGGGTTGTCCCGTGGGTGATTGTCGAGCCCATAAAAAAGGTTGAGATAATTGAAAACAACACATGAAAGAACATTTAGGGACCGATACCAGAAATACTTGAAGTTTTGTAGAATTAGTTCGAAGAGAATTGGGATATTCCGGTTCTGGGTCGTCTCTGGACCAGCAACGACAAGATTTCATTAAAAATCGCTTACATAATTTGAATGGCTGAGATAAACTTGATGTTCCAGAAAAAGAAGGATTTTGAAACAAAGTTAGTAGTTCTCAACCAGGAGAATTCGATGGCATACTTAAAGAGGCTATTGATTTAATAAACAAAAAGAAAAATAATGGCGGACCTAACCCTCCCCCACCTTCTCCTGATATTCAGGCCAGAAAGGACGCTATTAACGAAATTGAAAAAAAATTACAAGAATTTAATTTAAAGACTTTTCGGGATGACATTCCTATAACTCATGATTTAAAATCCCTTTTTGGAAATTTAAAGGGAGTAGTCATCACGAATAAAAAGGATGATTTACTAACATTAATAAATGACTATCAAACGAAACGAACAACTCTTATTGTTGATGCTGTCAAGTTAATTGAAGGTGAATTAGATAAAACAGGATTGAAAAGTCAGGAAAATATCATTTTGGGAGAGTATTGAAAAGACCTTCTTAATAGTTATAAAAACTCGGAAATTGACAAAGAAAAGCAAAAATTAATGACCAAAATAGGTGATTCTGCTTCCCGAAGTCAAGCGGCTATTGACGCAGCGATTCAAGAAATAGAAAAAAATTTACAAGACAGTAATTTGCCTGAAAGTGTTCTTGGAAGTAATTGAAAAGATAATTTTAAAGGTAAAGACCAGCAAGGAATAAATGTGGAGTTAGAAAAATTAAAAAAGTTGATAATGGCGGAAAACGACAAAACTTTTGGCGGTAAGATAAAAAACCAAAAAATAATTTTGGACTCAAGAACAAGTGCCATTAAGAAGACTAAAGATAGTTTGAAAGAAGGTCATAAAAAACTTGTAGTAGAAGAGAGCGAACTACCAACCGAACTTTTTGCTCCGTACAAAACATTAGAAGAAAAATTAAATAGTTTGGACAAAATTGAGGATATTACTGCTTTTGAAAATAATTTATTATCCAAAGTGGCCGAGAAGAAAAAGGAAAAATTATCGGCTATTGCTGATGAGGCTATTCAGACAATTAAGAAAGAATTACAAGGAGGAGATTACGAATTGGGACAAAATAAGGACTTTGAAAAAATGATTAAAGGAATGATTGACCCTGATGATATTGAGAGAAGAAAGTTAATTTTACTAGATTTAATTGCCGAACAAAAACAGGCCGCACAAAGTGATGTTGTGGAGAATACTAAAAAAAACAAACAAGAAAAACCTGGAACTTCTTGAACAAAAGTTATCGGAATTACTACTTTGATTGTGGTTCCACTAATGATTATAGGGTTTATTATTTTGCGAGTAAGACAACGAAAACTAGGGAAAAATAAATTAGATTAAGTCAAGAACTTTCTTTTTAATTTCTGCGGCTACTTCTTCTAAATTATCGTTAACAGTAATAATATAATCATACTCCTTAGCGAATGGCGTTTCTCTTTCGGCAATAGCCAATCGTTTTTTAATTTCTACTTCCTTTTCGCCTCGTTTTCGCAAGTTAGATATTAATTTATCACGGTTAGGTGGTTGTAGTCAAAAGGAAATAACTTTGCCTACTCTCTTTTCTTTTATCTTTTGAAATCCACGGACATCAACAATCAAAAGGACATTTTTTCTTAACAAACTTTTTTTCAAGCTATTTAGCGAAGTTCCATAGTAATTATCGTTGTATTCGACGTATTCTAAAAATTGATTATTAATAATTCCTTCAATAAATTCTTTTCGACTAACAAAATAATAGTCTTGACCATTTATTTCTCCGACCCTTGGTAAGCGAGTAGTAGTGGTAATTAGCCTTTGACTGTTTAATTCAGGATAGGTTAATAGTCTTTTCATTACTTCGCTTTTTCCCACTCCACTCACTCCAGAAATGATAATTAAAGCAGCATCTTCTTTCATTTATCTCAATTTTATCAAAATTAATTAATATGGAAGGAAAAAAATCAAATCCTAATTTAATTGATTGCCTTTACAACCATTTTAAGAATACTCCTAAAAAATTGAAAGTTGTTTGTGATTGAGATGAAGTGATACAGACCCTCGAACCAAAAGTATACTATGAATTATCGGAACGAGAAGGTGCCTATTATGATGCACCTTGATGAAAACCAAATGGAACCAAATTTGAAGAATTTTTTCAAGATTTTTGACCCAATGCTCCTATTCGTTTTTCTAATTATGGCAGTCATTCCATTTATACCGATAAAAGTATGATAAATAGTTGCCTGAGCGGGAGTAATGGTTTTGCTCTTGGTCCGAGAAGTATCAAAGATAAAATTGACAAAATAAAAAATGAATCTGATTTTTACGAAAATGCTCCTTTCCTTACTCTAGCCAAAGAATTGTTAAAGTTAGTCAAAGAAAATAAAGTAGAAGTAATTTTCCTCTCGGCTTATGACAAAAGGGCTTTTCTAGACGGCGATCCCCGCAAGAAAAAAATATTTCGAGAAACTTTTGGTAAATTTTCCAATTGTTCGTTAAATTTGGTGGGATTTGAGAGTGAAGGAAAAGGTCAGAGTAAAAGCGAATGAATTAAAGAAAATGCTCCTGATTGCGAGGTAGTAATAGACGATAATCCTAATATTCTCAAAAGTGTAATAGAAAATAATGATAAAATAATTGTCATTGCCCCTTTTTATTCGACTATTAAGCACCACCAAAAGGTCTTGTTAATTAAGACTTCGTTAAGTGATTTAAAAAAAGAGAATTTTCAGCATGAATAAAAGTCTGGAAAATACAAAAATAGGTTCTCTTACCGTAATTACCGGTCCCATGTTTGCTGGCAAAACCAGTCTGCTAACTGAAAAATATCATCAGTGCAAAAATTACCAACCATGTTTAGTGTTTAAGCCTGTTATTGATAAGCGCTATAGTTTGAATGATATAATTTCTCACAGCGGAGAAAAAATCGCGGCCATTTCTATTACTGATATTGCCGAAATAGAACAATATAAAGAACAAGAGGAAAATATTTTTATTGATGAAATACACTTTTTTAAGTCTGATATAGTGCCTTATTTAGAAGAATTAGCCAAACAGGGTAAAAAAATAATAGTGACTGGCTTAGATTGAAACTATTTTGCTAACAAACCTTTTGCTACGACCGCTGATTTATTGGCGGTGGCCGAACAGGTGGTTAAATTAACAACCAAATGCCAAATTGAAACTTGTCAACAACCAGCCGTCAAAAGCCAGTGAAAGTTAATTAAATTGCCCGAAAAATCCAGCGATTATGTTGGGGGAGTAGAAAAATATGGTAGTTATTGTCGTTGGCATTATGTTCCCATTGCTAAATTAACGAAAATTTCTCAAAAATACAATAGAGTTGAGGGAGAAAACGCCTGAGTGGTTATTTGACAAGACGACAAATTTCTAATGGTCTATGACATTGGTAAAGGTTGAAACTTACCAGGAGGAACAATAGATGAAGGAGAAACTCCCCTTGAATGCGCTATCCGAGAAATTGCTGAGGAAACTAATCTGACGATAAACAATTTAGAATTGTTATGCGTAGAGTGAATTTATTATCGCCAAAAATGATGGAAAACTCATCTCTTTGAAACTAATGATTTTAACGGAAAAATTGTTAAACAAAATTCTGAAGTATCAGATATTAAGTTCTTTACCTATCAACAGGCTAACGAATTAAGTTCCGAAGCCAGCAAAACCTTTCTTCCTCAGGTGCTTAAATCTCTGCAAAAAAACAACCTAATAAAATATGAATAAAAAAGCATTATTAATTTCCCTAGAAGGCATAGATGGTAGTGGCAAATCTACTTTAATTAAAAAACTGAATGAGAAAATTCCTAATTCTTTGGCTACTCAATCGCCCCGTGGCACCCCTTTGGGACAAAAAGTTTGAGATTTGGTTACCGAAAATTTAGTCAGCAGAAAATTAATTACTAATGTTTGGACGGAGTTCTTCCTGTTTACAGCTAATCATAACGAGCATGCTTTAACCATTATTAAACCCAATTTAAAAGCAGGTAAAACAGTTCTAATAGACCGCTATATTGATAGCACCTTTGTTTATCAAGGAATTAGGGGCAAACTCCCGATTACTAAATTAATTGAAATTTGAAAGAATAATATTGACATTCCCTTTCCTGATTTAACTTTTGTTTTAGATATTGAACCAAACAAATCTGCCAAAAGAGTAAACCAAAGACAGCGAGAAACAGGTGAAGAACCAAATAATTGAGATAATGCAAAATTGGAATTTCATCAGGTAATTCGTAATGGTTATTTAGAGTTAAAAAATTATTTTCCGGGAAGAATTCAGATAATTAAGGCTGACAGAAACCAAGAAGAAGTATTTAAGGAAGTTTGAGGAATAATTAAAGACAAATTGAATAATAAATAATAAGCTAATAAAAAAATTAAATAATGGAACAAAAAAATAAATTTACTATTAATTATGTCCGTCAAAGTTGATTAGACATTTTTCAGCAAAAAGGCTATCTTTTGTTAGAACCTTCTTCACTTATTCCTGAAAATGACCCTTCTTTGCTATGAATTAATTCCGGTGTTGCCACTCTAAAAAAATATTTCAATAATCCTGCTTTGGCACCAGCTCGCAATTTAGTTAATTGTCAGCGAGTAATTCGCACTGATGACTTGGCGAATATTAACGCCCGATCTTATCACCAAACTCTTTTTGAAATGCTGGGGTGTTTTTCAATTGGCAGTAATTTTAAAGAAGAAGTTATTCCAATTATCTGAGAATGGTTTACTTCGCCAAAATGGTTGAATATGAATCCGCAACATCTTTTTATTACGGTCTGAGAGAATGATAAAGTTAGTTGTGAAGTTTGAAAAAAACAAGGAGTAAAAGATAGCCACATACTTTTTGGCAGCAAAAAAACTAACTTTTGGGATATGGGCGATGGCCCTTGTGGTCCTAATACCGAAATTTACTATGATTTTCAACCAGAAAAAGGTTTGCCTAACAAAATTGAAGAATTAGATAACAAAAGATTTATTGAAATTTGTAATATTGTTTTCCCTGAATTTTATCATAAAGGAGAGGAATATTTGCCATTAGCCCAAAAATGTGTGGATACGGGAGCAGGACTAGAACGCATTGCTATGGTCTTACAAGGAAAAAAAAATGCTTTTGAAATTGATTTATGAGAGCCAGTTGTCAAACTGATAGATGAATATTTTTCTCCTGACGGTTCAAAAATGAATTAGAAAAAAATGCTCATAATCCCTCGCAAAAGAAAACAAGTTTAATAAACCATATTACCAAATGCTAATTTAATGTAATAATATATAGAGTTATCTATTGTTCCTAGTTAGTCAGTCGGTTTAGAGTTAGCGAAATTCCCTAGTTCCGAGTCTGACTGACTAGAAAGAATAAATAACTATGGGAATTTCGCAAAATGCCCAAGGAACAAACAATTTTCAGATTATTCCTTGACAAAAAATTAAAAGATTTATAAAAAAGGAAGAAGTTATTGTCGCTTTTTATGACTTTTTAAGAATACAGGAGGGAGTTTTTTTGTTTTGTTTCAAAAAAGGAGGAGAATATTTTCAGCAAAAAATCCCACTTTTATTTTCTGAGAGAATTAACTTTCAAACTAGGCAATAAATAATTTATTATCTACTTGGGAAATTAACTCATTATTCCCACAACCAGCATAGGAAACAAAAACTAAACTGGTTGCGAGCGTAATACGGAAATTTAAGTTGCCATTTAAACTTATTAAGGTTATTCAATAAGGGCAATAATCAACCGTAAACCTAACAAGACGGCTCCGAAACTTATAATCAAGTTAGAGTAAGAGCCGAAATGCCTTATCGGGTAAGGCCGTAACTGAAAAATCTTAAACTTGCCGACCTCTTGAAATGAGAACTTTTATATAGGGGAACCAAAACCTATATATTTATTTTAGTTTCGAAAAGAGGCGGAGGGTGAACTATGTCATTTTTTTTGCCCTATTTTTACACCTTACTTATTAAAATAAGTAAAAATAACCATTAAGTCCCAAATTTGCCCTTTTTTTGCCTTTTCTTTTATTTTTAATTTTCTTTTTTGTAAGGTTCGGAATGGTTGATGTTCTTCCTAGAAAAAGTTTTGCGGATGAAAAAAAAGGGGGCAGGCAAAGAGTTCCCAAACATCCACCAAAAAAAAGAATATTTTTAACCAAAAATCCATAGTGTTAATCAGATATTCAGGCAAGGCCAAAGTTAAAGAATGAGCAAAAGGCTTTGAACAATACTCCTCATAGAGAGTTTTTTACTTAAAATTCCCTTATATGCTCCCTACGCAACAACTTTTAGCAAAAGTTAGTAAGGAAATCAATGATATCCCTAATCAACGCAAAGAAAGCAAAAGGGGAACGCATTTTTGCTGTTTTCTGTTATGCCATAAATTCGGTTTGCGAATAAGTGAAGCAACAAGTTTTGATTTGGCAAATAAAACCAAAATGGGTTTATATCGGATAAAAAAAACAAAAGGCAAAAAGGAGAGATTTGTTTACATCCCCAAGGATGTCATTAACCAACTGAAAAGAAACAATTGGCAACCGAACCAAACTAATCGCTGAAACTTTTACCATTTCTTAAAAAAAGTTAAGCGAGAATTGAATATTAGTCAAAGTATCGAACTAACTCCCCATACTTTACGCCATGCTTTTGCTACTTATCAAGCGGAATCTGGTTTACCGCTGCCACTTTTACAAAAATTACTAGGTCATTCCAGCATTCGCACTACCGCTCTTTACTGGCAAAATATTTATCAGGAACCCAATGATGATGCAGGTTCCATCTTGGCTGGTAAAAAATGGTTAGAAAGACCCAAGTCTTCCCAAAAGAAAAATCCACCCAAACCATCAATCGCAGCAAATTTTGCTCCGCTGAATAAAGTAATCACAGATTTTTTATTTCCTCAACTGCCAAAAACTCCCAAACCCATTTTTATAGAACAAGAACCAGCAATTTTATCACAAAAACTAATTCAGCAGGAAATTCCTTATCAGTTCCAAAAACACTTAAAAAAAGACCAGCAAAATTAGTTAACGCAATTCCGCCAAAATCTCAGGAGAAATTTTTCCTAACTAACACCAACAAAAAAAACGATCAACTACAAGTCAGTCAACAACCAACGTTAACCCTAACAAAAGGGAAAAAAATAATCAAAACAGAACTTATTTTGTTAGCCAAAATTAAAAATTTGGAACAGCAATTAGTCCAAATTAAGACGGAAAATGATAATTTAAACTCTGAAAATCGGCACTTGAAGACCCTAATTCAGCAAAACCAATTAAAAACCGAAGCAAAAATTATCCAACCGCTACCTTAGAAAGCCAAAAGTTAGTCAAAAATTAATGAAAAAGAAAAAACTCAACTCCATTCAATTACAAGTCAAAATCTTCCTTGCTAAATCCATAATTAAAAACTGAGACCAAGCCAACGAACAAGAAAAAAAAGAAATTGAGCGGTGGTGAAATACAGAGTATTGTCCAAAGGACTAAAAGAAACTTACGGAGAATTTGAATAAATTGCTGAAATCAAAACTAGTCTTGTTGATGACAATTTTTTACTCATAAATGGTTATCAGTTCCATCCTTAAATCAAAATACTAATTTATACTTTTCCTCTCCAAACACAATTCTTTTCAAAACATAGTGGTCTCTTTTCCAAGCAGGATTTTTTTTGGGTTCTGGTTCGGCGTCTTTGCCATTTAATTTTTCTTTAAAAATATCTAAAATTAATTCTTTACTAATCTTTTCGCGACCTTTTTTCTTTCAAGTATAATCGGTGATGGTTATTTTGTCTATTTTTGTTCGTTAAAAATAAGGACAAAATTAACTAAATAAGTCCAGTGTTGTTCTTGATATTTGTCAGAAAATTTATCTTCAATTAGACTAAACGGCACGGCGGACATGAATGGTTTTGTCAACTTCTTTTTTTTCAATAGTGATTTTTACTTGGCAAGGGGAGAATAATTTGCTAGTATAATCCATTAATCTATCCAAAGTAAAATAATCAATGCGGCAATATAAAATGTCCTCGGTTTCGGCTTTACTTAACTTAATTTTTTGAGCCAATTTTTCAGTAGTTAATTTATTATTTCTTTTGTATCTGATTAATTTTTGGCAAATCTCATATTTCGCTTGTTCCAAAGGAGTAGGATTTTCCGGTAAAGCCCAAGAACCGCCCGAATAATTAGGGTCTTCCAGTTCTTCCAAATATTTCTGATATTCAGTTTTTTGCAAAAGTTGGTCGGAATGATTTTGCTTTTTTTTGCTCGTTTTTCATAACTTATACTATTATCTTATTTTTATAAAATAAATTTTTTCGCTGTTTTTCATATTTTTCAACACTTCTACAATAAAACACCCTCTTCTAATGCTAACTCTTTCAACGCTTCACTGAAAAAACAAGTTTTTTCTTTTGGTTACGATTTTCTATCTTTGCTATAATTCTCTAACGATTTTTCCAATATCTCAGTCATTAACTTTTTTTCTTTTAACGAGGGATTATGAGCATTTTTTTCTAATTCATTTTTGAACCGTCAGGAGAAAAATATTCATCTATCAGTTTGACAAC